ATGGACTCGCTCTCCCTTGACACTCGGAATTCGGGGGGGGGCGGAGTACGCAGTGGTCATTCTGTGACCCGTTTTACGTTGTCATGAAGTGTGAGTCCACCAGGCAGAGGTGCTGGCGAGTTCTGGTAACTGCGTCCCTCGGAGGCAACTGTTTCTCATCACTGCCGCCCCCACCCCTTGTCCACGCTCAGAGCATAAACCTGAAGCCTGAAGCTTTATCTGACCCAGAGGGCCATTGGTGAACTGCTTGGTCAAACTGCAAGCTGGGCTGAGAAACAGAAGGCTTCTAGCCTCTAAGGAACCCTGCTGGGGGCAGGGGCAGCCCATCTCTCGGGAGGAGGACTCTGGGCTGCAACCAGAGCTGTCCTGCCTACTGGCCCCTGCGTGGCCTCAGTGGGTATCATGAAACCCCGTGGTTGCCACCACTCCAGCCTAGGCCTTGTCATCCCATTTTGTAGGAAAAGGAAATGAGGCCCAGAGATGCTGAGCCATCTGCCCCAGGCCACACAGCCAGATCCAAGCCCAGGTCTGTCCAAATCACAGTCAGCTCTTTCCCTCAAGAAACCCCACCCGACTTCACCTCCCCTCCCAGTCTCCCCTCCTTGACCCCCAGGTTCTCCAGTGAAAGTAGGTCCCATCCTTTGGCAAGTGGCCGGCAGGTGGCGGCAGAACCCTTCCTTCCCACGCGGAAGGCAGCCCTGACTTCGGTGGTGATGGCCGAGGAGGAGGAAGCCGGATTGGGAGGGGCGGCGTGAGTCTGCAGATCGGGGGGAGGACCACCGGCCGGTGCCTGGGGGCGGGGTTGGCTCTGCCTGTGCCCAGGGCTGGGGGCGGGGTCTCCTGCAAGTGTGTGGTCCACCCAGCCCTGCACGGAGGGACCCCAGCTCATCCGGGTAGAACCTCAGCCCCCACCACCCGGTCGGAGTTTCTGGATGGGGAAGCGTCCCTGCAGACCTGTCTCTTTCTAAACTGTTTGCAAAGGCCCCCTGCCTGCCCCATGGGGGACAGGGGGCTTCTGGGGAGTCACAGTGCCCTGCAGCCTACGAGCCCAGGGCCTCCCTGCAAGGTCTCAGCAGACCGAGGCCCTTGGACTCAGGTTCCCCATCTGTGAAATGGGACAGTTGCTGCCCCTGCTCTGCCAGAGCCCTGAGCCAGGGGCTGGGGACCCCAAGATGAGGTTGCTGCCCATGTGTGTGAGCACGCTGAGGGCAGCACCCCAGGCCCGGGGCACCAGGACCTGACCCATGGGTCAGAGGTGGGGTCTGCCCGAAACCATGGTCTCAGCCCATTCTGAGCTGAGTTGTTATCATCAGCAAGGTAGCTCTGGTTACCGGGTCAAGCATGAGCGGTAGTGAGATTCCCTGCAACCAGGGAGCACATGGGGCCACTCCCCACCTGCTGCTGCCCCTGGGCGGTGGGCCCCATCACTGTGCTGGCCCCTCCGGACTTACCCTCGACCTCAGATCATAAGCCAGCCCTCCAGTTTCTACTGATTCCTTTGGTGGAACTTGAGTGGCGCACCCCCCACAGGGACCCTCCCCTTTCTGACCAAACTTCAGTCGGACCTGTGGAAACTGTTCGTGACTTGGCCTCGACCGGGAGGTGTCCCTAGGCCCTCGGCATCTCCTCTTAGCATTTCCGTCCACCCCGCTCCTTGGTTACAAATCCCCACCTGTCCTTGTGGAATTTGGGGCCAGCCCGGCCCCCCTTCCCAACTGCCGTGTCTCGAAAAACGCCTTCCTACCGCTTTAACGAGTGCCAGGTTCCTCTTTCTTTAACACCCTGGCCCCACTGCTGCCTCAGTCTGTGTTTTCACTGTGCGATTCGGTCACCAGTCAGCGGTTAAGACAAACTTCTCGACATAAAGCAGATGAACAACGAGGTATTACCGCGGGGCACAGGGAACCGTATTCAGTGTCTTGTAGTCACCTGTAATGGAGGAGGATCCGACGAACAATCTGCCCCGGGTCACTTTGCTGCGCACCTGAAACTAATGCAAGGCTGTACATCAACTGCACTTCAGTGAGAACCCAGAGACCCTGGACACACCTGGCTCGGCCGAGCCGGGCGTGAGCGCCGCGGCGCCTCCCTCCCGGCTGGGCTCGGGCCTCGCCTTGGAGCTGTAGTCCTTGACCCGCGCGCTGATCTGTGCTTGTGCCGACCATGTCTGTTCTTGTAACTCGGGGGGCTGGGCCACTTTCAAGTAACAGACAGCAGCAGACATGTGGCTGTCGCACTGTTGTTCCCGGCTTCCAAGTTCTGAGGCCTGATTCCCTCCCATAAAGCCCTGTGCAGTTAGGGGTCAGGACTGGGGTCTCCCCTGGGGCGGGAGGGACCCTCAGACCCCCACCCATCTGCTGACAGGGCCCACAGGCTGCCCCGTGGAGTCCACCCCTCCACTCCTGCCTCCCTCAGCCCCCGCGAGGGCAGGTGTGGGCCTGGGTGGAGCCTCGGGGGGCTTTCCTGTCCAGGCCCCGCCCTGCAGCCCCTCCCGCTGGAGCCCCTTCTCTAACCCTGGCGACAGCCGCCTCCCTGGGGGTGATGTAGGTCTATCTCAACCCAACCCACCTTGCATCCTGGGTGGGCACGGATGGGGCAGGCTGGGAGCCACCACGTGCTCCCAATGCTGGCAGCCTGCGTGGCCAAGGCACTTCCTGTCTCTGGCCAGGGTCACCTGCGTCTGTCAGCCTCTCTGTGCCCTCAGCTGTCTCTGTCTCTCTGTCTGGTGTGTCTCTCTTGGTCCTGATAACTCTCACTGTCTCCCTGTCTCTCCCCAGTGTGTCTCCCTCTGCATAACTCCCTCTGCATCTCTGGATCTCTGTCTCTGCCTCTCCCTCCCTCCCTCCCTTTGATGATCTTGGTGTTATGTTTGGTGGGAACCTGGGCCCATGATGTGCCAGGCCTGGGGGTGCCGAGCTGGGTCCCAGGAGAGACGCAGGAACCACAGGGTGAAGGGTGTGGGGGAGCACCGAGGCCAGGCTGCCCAGAGCCCCATGCGAGCCCCCCGCTTCAGCAGGGGTCCAGGGAGGGCCCCTGAGAGGTGGCGCTGGAGAGCGTGGGCTCAGAGGTGGGACGGGGGGAGAATTCCAGGAGAGGGCCACAAGCTTAAAGGCACAGAGGCAGGACAGCGGGGTAGTTGGGCCCATTAGTGCTCTGGGGACAGTGGCGTTAGACGCAGATGGGGTGCACGGGGATCAGCCAGCGGGAGGCCGATGTTGATGATGACCCTGACCTGTGCCAGCCCCAGGCCAAGCCTGTTGGTGGGCCAGCCTCACTGACTCTCACCCAGTCCTTGAGGTTGGAACTGTCTTTGGTCCCAGTTTACAGGAGAAGAAACAGAGGCTCAGGGCAGCTGAGCAAGGTGCGCGAGGCTGCACAACTCACAGGGGGCCGACCTGTGCTAGGGAGCTGGGAGCTCGGCCTGAGTAAACGGGAGCCACAGAAGGCTCTTGAGGAGAGGCACTCGGGGTGAGACCAGCGTTGAGCACAGTCACGTGGGGAAGGGAGGCTGGCAGGTGACGTGCCCCCCTGCAGGCTGGCTGGGGTGGGGCTGAGACTGCCCCCAGGATGGCACTCAGGAGAGTGTTCAGTGTCGGGAGGGCAGGGAGGACCCCTCCCCAGCAGTGCCGCCCCTCCCCACCCTCTCCAGAATCATGTGTCCCAACTGACCACACCCCAGTCTCCCCACCCGAACCCCTTCCTCTGCTGCCACCCTACCTCTGGGTCTCCAGAAAGCTCGCTTGGTTAGGATTCCCATGGGGAGACCTGCTATTTTAAGACGCGAAACCTGGTTCCACTGGGAAGTCCTGAGCATTCCATTTTAATTAAAAAGTTAATGTCGTTAAAATAGGCCAAGAAACTGCTGAAGAAGTCTGAGATATTTTCCCTCCACCAGTTGCTTTAATGTTTTATGACCTTTCAAAATACTGATGGCCAGACAGCGGGGCTCTCCGGATCCGTGCCAGTGTCCGGGCCCACGCCCTCCTCCGCCCGCCCAGTGTCAAGGCCCGTTTTCCTGAGGAGCCCTGGCCTCAACCCCTTGCCCTGGGGCCCTGCCCCGTCTCCGGCCATCTCTTGGAGGGACAGCCTGGCTCTGTGAAGTGCTTGATCACCCCAGGCCAGAGGGCCGAGACCCCGCAGTCCCATCCCCAGGGGATCTGGTGACCCGCACTTGTCACCTCACTGAATCCTCAGCCGCTTGGTCGGGTAGGCACCAAGGAAACCACAGGGCTCAGAGCCATTGCACTCGCTGCCCCTCTGCCTGGAGGGAAGGCTCTTCCCCAGGGCCCCTGAGTGCCCCCCAAGCTCATGCGGGCCCCCCAGTTTTCTAGGGTTCCAGGCCACTTGGCAGCTCGCCCTTAGAGGCTCCTCCGTTTCCCTCCCTCACCTCCCACTCCCGACACGGCTTTCCTCCCTCACAGAGCGGCCGCTGGCGCTCAGACCAGCCCTGGGTGGGTCACCAAGAACCGCGTCAACGGGGAGGGGGTGTGGACGCCTTGTCCCAGGAGACCCTCTGGGCTGTGGCGCGTGGTGTCCCAGGTCCTGCAGGGGTGAGGAGCAGGGACCCTCGGGCCAGGAGTGCCCGACGCAGGGGTCTATGGCCCTGGCCGGGGCAGCTCTGCCTCCTCCATCTGTGCCGGGCTCCTGCTTGCGGTGAGAGAAGACTCTTCCGGGCCCTCTGGGCGTAGCTGGGACCCACAGGAAGGAGGAGGCAGGGCTGCAGGGGGCCTGGGACTCTGGACGACCCAGGGTCTGCGGGCGGGGCAGGGATCTGACACCCGAGAGGTGCTCAGTGGCCGTCTGCACACGCGCAATGGCCCCGCTGGGAAGCCGGGCTGGGGTTTAGGCCACCGTCCGTCCCCAAACACAGGTGCCGGGCCCCTGCCGCTAGCAGCAGTTGCCGTGATGGATAATGACGGCGATGGGTCAATCCTATCAAATACCGATTAACTGTCGTCAGCTGTGTCTACTTCACAACAGACAGTCGAATCCTTTTTTTCCCTTCACCAGGGCCACAGTCAGGGCGCACGTATGTGGACGTCGGAAATGAGAGAGAGCCGGGGGCTCCTGGAGGGCGGGTGGGCCCCGTCCTCCCTGCCCAGCACCTGGCGCAGGTCCCTCCGAGCGGCCGTGGAGACAGGCAGACCCAGGCTGGGCCCGGCTCCGGCTCCGGGGCCGCGGGCCGTGGATGGGGACGTGGACGTGGACGTGGTCAGGTCCCTAAAGCAGCGTCACTGGGGTAAAACTGGTGCACGGCGGCACGTAGTGACTGTGCGCGACTTGATGAGTGTGGGTGCGCGCAGACGCCGGTGCTACCATCACCGCGTTCATGGAATAAGCAGAGTGCCTCCTGGCCCTCTGGGGATTTTCTGTTTTTGTTTTGGTTTGGTTTTATGTAGTAAGAACTCTTAACACGAGACCGACCCGGCTGACACACTCTGAAGCACAGCGCCCCGCTGTCTGCCGCAGGCTCCGTGCTGTCAGCGGACCTCTGGAACTTACTCATCTGGCACGACTGAAACTTCTTTAAAAATTATTAAACATTTTCCAGGTTTACTGAGGTGTAAATGGCAGAAAAATCACGTGTACTTAGGGTGTGCGACTTGGTGCTCTGATGTACACATACGCCGTGTGATAATCACCACGATCAAGTTGACTGGCACGTTCACAACCGCGCAGAGTTACCTTCTTCTTCCCTTTTCTGTGGTGAGAACAATCAAGATCTACCCTTTAGCAAATTTCAACCGTACAACATAGTGTTGCTAACCGTGCAGTAACTGTGTTTCTACAGTTCCTTTTCTCTGCATGAGGTCTCCGCGTTGCTTCCTTTAATCAACGCCCCCACTTTTCCCCTCCCCACACCCTTGACAACCGCCATTCTCTCTGCTTCCCTGAGTCTGACTATTTTCAGATTCCACGTGGACGTGCAGTCACACAGCATTTGTCTTTCTGTGCCTGGTTTGTTTCACTAGCACGGTCTCCTCAAGGTCCATCTGTGGGGTTGCCAAAGCGGAGTTTCTTTCTTTTTTAAGGCTGAATAATACTCTGCCCTCTCTGCACGCCACGCTTTCTTTATTGCTCGCCTGTGGATGGACACTCTAGTTGCTTCTCTGTCTTGGCTACAGTGCGAATGCAGTGACCGTGGGTGGCAGAGCATCCCTGAGTGAAGAGATGCTGCCTTCACTTCCTTCGGGGGCACACCCAGAAAGGGGCTTGCTGGGTCTTACAGCGGCTCTGTATTTACTTTGCTGAAACCCCGTCCTGTTTCCACAGTGGCTGCACCAGTTTATGTTCCCACCAGCAGCAGATGAGGGTTCCGGCCGTCCCGCGTCCTCCCCGGGGTTTGCCCTCTCTCCCCTCTCCCGGTGTCTCGACAACAGCCATTCTAACTGGCGTGAGCGAGGTGGCGCCTCACTGTGGTCTTGGTTTGCACTTGCTTGATGGTTAGTGACGTCGGCACCTTCCAGTGCACCAGCCGGCCGTCCGCATGTCTTCTCTGGAGACACGCCAGCTCAGGTCCTTGGCTCATTTAATTGGGCCGCTGGCTTTGCTGTTGCTGCTTTGCCACTGAGCTGTGCACGTTCCTTATAGATGCTGGATCTTAATCCCTTATCACATGTGTGGTTTGCAAATGTTTTCTCCCGTTCCACAGGCTGCTTTCTCATTCTGATGCTCCTTTGCTGTGCAGAAGCCTTTTAGTTTGATGTAATCCCACCTGTCGAGTTTTGCTTTTGTTGCCTGTGCTCTGGGGTCAGATCCGAGGCATCACTGCCTAGTCAATTCGCTTCTTTGCTGGGTCTCAGGTTCCTCATTTTACATTGAGAGTAAAACGCCTGACCTGTTAGTTCAAGTAGGTTTGGCTGTGGTAACAGAAAGACTCCAAAACACATACCGTCTCGACCAGGGCAGGAGAGATGTTTACTTCTTGCTCTGGGGAAGCCGGCTGACGGGCAGTGTCCTCCTGCATTGATCTGTGGACCCCCACTCTGTGCCCCCACTCCAGAGCCCGAGAGGGAGGCGGCTCTGCCCACACCGTGATCTGGACCTTCTGCATCCAGACCTGGAGAGAAGGGATTACCTGTGTGTGGTCCCTGTGATGTGGCCCAGGACACTGACACAGCCTGTGTCGGTTGAAATGACTTTATCAGCACAGAGAAAGGAGGCGCCAGCGCTGCTGCTCTGGCTCATTTCCATAGTCGGTCTGCTCACCTCTCTGCCTCCTGTTCCTCCCACAATCGCCCAGCCACACTGGACCACTCCTCACCCTCCTGCCTCCAAGGTGGCTGTGATGGAGGTGGCTCGGCGGGTATCAGACCACCTCTGCAGGGGCACATCTGTCCCCACTGGACCACCTGCACGCCCTCCTGTCAGCCCAAAGGCAGACCCACCAGAGAGAGACCGGGGACTCAACACCCGGCCGCACCCCCACCCCTGGCCTGAGTGAGATCAGAAGAACCCGGAATGTGGACCCAAGGGAAGCGGATGAGGACTCGTGTGGCCCCGCAGGCCCTCTGTGCGCCGGCTCCCCTGCTCTGACTCTGCAGATGAGGAAGCAAACGGCACCCTGGTTTGTTCTCATTTTAGAGACTCAGAGGCAAGGAGGCTAGGCTAGGCCCCCAGGAGGGGCGAGGATGGGGAGCCCCACAGCCGACTCGCGTCAGAATCAAGATGACGGAGAACTTTAGGAAGATACGGCCTGGTTACCCGTGAAGTGTGTCACCCGGCCTGGGAGGAGGGCAGGTTTTAGCTTCTATCCAGAGGAAGCCACGTGGACCCAGAGGGGCTGAGTGGTCTGCCCAGGGTCACACAGCAAGGAGGGGCGGGATGGCCACTGACCTCCTCTGGCTGGTCCCCTGGCCTCCGCCTCCTCAGGAGGGGGCATCCCCTCTGCACCCAAAGGCCCAGTGTGAGCCCCCCCCCACCGCCCTGCAGGCCTGGGTGGACGGGCAGGAGGAGGAGGGCCTGACCCTCTGGGGAGCTGGAGCTGGCCGTTCCAAGGCTGTGGATTAATCGCAGAAATGGGAAGTCAGTCTCTGACCTGCTACAGCCTCATTATTCACGTCGGACCAGTGGGAGAGAATTCTGGCTGCCCGGAGCTGCGATCATCATGGCCAGCGTGGTGCCTGCTCTGCCTGCCCCATTCCCAGGCATGCCAGCCCCACAAGTCCCCAACCAGGATGGCTGCGTGTCAGGGCCTGAGAGGCCCTGGCAGTCCTGGGGCCCTGGGACCCCAGAGGCCTTGTGAAAAGTGCCTCACACACCTGTAGTGGGACACGATGGTGGTCACTAGGTTGGGCCACCCTCCTGGGACGATCAGGGTGGGTGCTGAAGGATGAGTAGGAGTTTGGCGGGTGTGAGGGGAGGAGGCGTTTCAGAGGAGGAACCGCAGTGTGACTGAGCTTTGTCCCCGGGGGAGCTGTGCCGGGAGCCAGGCTGCAACAGCCCATCAAGACTGTGCTTGCCCACTTGGCCCTCGGGGACCACTGGGCGTGGCTATGCTGGGCGGTGGCACTGCCAGGCGTGTGTTCCTGGAAGATTGCTTTGTCTGAAGTGACAGGGGACGGGGTGTGGGGAGGCTGGAGACCAGGGCTTCGCCACTGCGCTGGTCACAGGAGAGGACTACGGGGGCCCAGCCAGGGATGGCAGAAAGTCGGTGGGCTTCCAGGCTGCCCAGGAGGTGGGACCAGGAGGTCTGGAAGGTGGGTGGGACGGCAGGGAGAAGGAGGAGGAGGCAGGGTCGGGGGGTGAGGGTGTCCCCTGGGTGGGGAGTCGCCAAGCAGGGGTCTCTCTTGCCTTGCTGCCCCTCCCACAGCACAGCCAGTGGGGTCCAGAACACTCTCTGAAGCTTCTGTGACTTCTGGCCATCGTCCACCAGCTGGGGTCTCCCCAGGCGATGGTCCCATCGAGGTCAGGACTTCAGAGGAAGCTGAGAAGGGGGTGAAATACTCCACTTTGAGTTGAGGAGTTCCGTCTGTCTGCCATGACAGGGATGGACCTGGGCAAGCCAAGCAGAAGCAGGGAGGCCGGGCAGAGACCATCCCTGGCCGCCCACCCACCCCAGCAAAGCGAGGGCCTAGTGAGGATCCCGCTGCCCCGGGCCTGCTCACCGCTCCCCTGATTCCCGCTAATCACGTTAACTGCTGCTCTGGGTGGCCGAGGGGCAGGGTTGTCAGATTACTGGCCATGTGAAAAGGTTGGCAGGCCTGGCAAGTTCTCTGTCTTGTTCAATTCAGGGCCAATTGATGCAGCCTTGTCCCTGGGCAGGACATGCCAGCCTCTGCAGCCTGCGGTCAAATGGGCATCGCTGGGGGTGGGTGTCAGGAGGGCCGGGCTTACTGGCCGTGACCCAGGGGCAGTGAGCTAGACTCCACCCTGGGAAGCTGCGGGGCTCCTTCAGGCACAGCCCTGCCCCCTGGGGATCGGTCTTTGGACAGGAGCAGTTTCTCCAGGTGATCACTTCTAGTGCGAGGTCATATCAGGTTCACAGAGAGCTGAGGACTGAGGGAGGAGGGCCCAGTCCCGCAGCCTGTGGCTCAGGGCTGAGCTGGTGACGCCCAGGCCTTCCTGCCCCTCCCCCCCTCCCCCGGGGTCTCCACCGCCAGCCGTGGCCCCACCCCTGCCCACAGGGCCCGTTACCACCATGGCATCTGCTCAGCTAGTGGGCTGCCGGGCACCACTGCGAATTACCTGGGATGATTTCATTTTTGAAGATTAACTGGGAGACCCCAGAGCTTTCAAGATGTCAAGAGACAGAGCTGCGATGAGGGGACGACAGAGTGACCCCACACTGCGCTGCCTGGACCCCTTCAGGACAGAGGTATCACCCCTCCACACCAGCCCAACTCGGATGCTCCGAGGGACTCTGCGGCTCCAGGCCTGGGCCGGCCAAGGCTGGCGGCTGCAAGACATCCCTCCATGCAGCCCTGCCTCCTTCCTCGATTAATGTCTCGGGGCTGCGGTGATAAAGCACCCCAAATGAGGGGCTTCTCTGAGCAGCATCCACTCTCTGATGGCTCTGGAGGCTGCAGGTCAAAGTCAAGTGCGGGCAGGGCTCTGCCCTTGGGAGGTGGCTCCTTCCTGCCACTTCCAGCCTCTGGGGGCTCCAGGCGTCCTGGGCTTGTGGCCGCGTCACAGGGCTCTGCCTCCCTCTTCACACGGCCTCCCCTCTGGGTCTCCCCTCCTCTGTCCTATAAGGACACTTGTCATTGAATCCAGGGATCGCCTGGGTAACCCAGTCACACCTGCAAAGTCCCAGTTTCCACATAAGGTCGTGTTCACAGGTTCGCGGTCTGGGACATGGTCCCATCTCATCTGGGCTCTGCGTTCAGCCACACTTCCCTCCCTCAGTCCAGACTCCAAGCCATCCGCAAATAAACGTCCTGCTCCCCAAACTACTCCTCGGAGTCTGCACTCCAGGGGTCATACCAGTGACAACCAGGGACCCCAGAAAGCAAGGGGGCCTACTCACCTCAGAGTCCAGACTTCTGGCCACTGTGGGGAGAGGCCAAAATGACTCAAATACCTCTGATGGAGCCAAGCTGGCAGCCACGCGGGTGGGTGCCGGGTGGCCCTGGAAATCCTCACAGGTCCCTCTCCGGGAACAGTCTTCCCGGCTGACTTTCCAGGAAAGGGAGGAACCTTGGGGTTACCACTGGGCGCAGGAGGAAGCAAGGCAGGAGAGCAGGAAAGGAGGACCAAGAGGTGAGCGAGTGACTGGGGTGGGGGTGATAATGATGGATACACAGATGCACAGATGCACAGGTGACAGACAGACAGATGGGACTCCTGCCACTGCCAATTTGGGAAGTTCTGGGCTTTATTTTATTTGAGAAGGAGACATTTTAGGTGGTTTATGATCCCCTTTTACAGATGAGGATCCTGAGAACATCAGAATACTTTGGCCACAAATAGAAAAAAAAATCTCAAAATGTTGTAAACAATAAGGACTAAGTTTTAACTCACGGAACAGGAAGTTCTGAGGGGGCCTGGCTCCAGAGATGGAGATTTCAGAGGCATAGAAAGAGGATTAAAAACCCAGGTTCTTCCCACCTCTCTCCTCTGACCTCAGATCCATCCTCCTCATGGCCCCAGGGTGGCTGCCATTGCTCCGGAAATCACAGCAGATGTGGTCATGTTTAGTGGAAGAAGAGATCATCTTTCCCTGGGCCTTTTTGAGAGGAAGGAAACATTTCCCTGGAGCCCCCAGTAGCCTCCACTCCCATCTTAGTGGCCAGAACTCAGTGCTCAGAACATAGGCCACCAGAAGTGTTTCCACTGTGTAGGATTTACCCCTGAAGTTGGGAAGGGGGCATGCCCAAAGTCATTGGCAGTGGGATGGGGAACACCCAATAAAATCTGGCCCTGCCAGCAAGCAAGAAGGGTGGAGGGCTGCAGGGTGTGGACGCCGGGGAGGTTACGTCCTGTGCCCAGAACTTCCCAGCATCGGTGGAGAATTCGACGTTCAGACCCAGAGAGCCAACTCTACCCTGCAGTGTGGGCCAGGCTGCACTGTTGCCTGGGTCGCCAAGCGGGGTTGGGTGACGGGGCAAGGGGAGTCTGTGCTGGCCCAGGGCATGGTAGGGCTGGTCTCCCACTCTGCCCCCGTCACCCAGGGCTGCACAGAGAGCCGCGGTCTGGGCTGCTCTCTGATGCTGGGCTCATTAAAGGAAATGTTCTCATCGGCGTATTTCCAGCCCAGGCGGTGATGGTTTTAATATCCAGAATCACAGGGAGGGGAGCGGGAGGCCTAGTCCTGCAGGCTGGCCAAGGGCGTTCGTCCTCCTACAATGGAGAGGAAATGAAACACAGAGATGTTTCCCTCTCCTGAACAATGCTGATCCGCCAGGATATCGGGGCAGAGGTGACACTGAGCCACAATGCAGGCGAGAGTGGGAAGCAGGGAGTGGACGGCTGTGACCGCAGACCACAGGGAGCCCCAGCCTCAGCTTCCTACTCTGTGAAATGGGGAAAATAATAGTACGGGGGGTGGTGATGCCGCCCCCACCCCAGCTGCCCATCAGCGTCTGGTTGTGAACACACGCCTGTAAGGGACACGAGGGTTGTGGGGGGACCCACTCCCCAGGCAGAACAGAGCCTGGCTCCCCTCCTGCCTCCCCACTGCGCTCCCATCTCTGCAGGGGAGTGTGGCCAGGTGGGCCCCGTCCTTGCCCCGTGAGGTCTGGAGCTGAAAGCTTCGCGTCCTGGGTGGGCACGGGGGGCAGGTCGGTGTTTTCTGTAGTTTCTGCCTGAAGGGCACAGATGGTGATTCAGACAAGTGGGCTGATTCTGGCCCAGGACCGAGGCAGGAGGCGGCAGGGCCAGTCGTCCAGCTGGTCCCTTCCCGAGCCGCAGGCGCCAATCTACCTGGTCAGAAATCAGGCTTTGGGTCCTGCACCTGTGTCTAGTCCCTCAGCTGGTCCCCTTCTCCTGACAGGAAGGCGAGGGTTGCTCACAGTCCCCTAAATTCAACAGCCCAGGAGCTGCCCGTCTGGCCCCCGTGGACCTGGGTGGGTGCCAGCTCACCCGCCACACCCATCCAGAGCCCCAGCAGACAGCGACCAGGCCAGGGGTCCTGCCCACCGCCAGGACGTGCCTGTGGACAGCGCGTGCCCACCTCGACGGTCGAGGGGCGTGCGACGGGACCCGTCGGAACCGAAACGGACGAACGGAACGGGGACCCGGGAAAACCGGGTTAAGGGGCCGAAACCG